ATGTTGGGGTTTTTTTTTTCTGGAAGGAATCCCATAATATTGATATTAAAATACTTGAATGGAAAATGAATGGTTAAACTAAACAGCATCAGTCACACAATTTCAGAGCAACCTCTCAGCTACTGCTGGGCTATGGAACAAGGAAGGTGCATTTGATGCCACAACTAGTCAGAGTAGATAATTTCCACTTTAACAGCTCAAATGAAGGAATTTGTGATTCAGGTACTATAGGATTTTATAATCTGCTGCAGCAGAAAAATAACATCTTAAGAGCATTTCTGCAACACTCAGGCAATCTTATTGCATTTAAATTATCAACTATTTTTTTCTGTATCTGGTGGTTGATTATGAAGTTAGAAGGGTTTAAATAGCAGCATTCTATTTAAGCATGTCCTCATTCTAAGCATGTTCCTTAATCAGTCAGAGAAGGCTAATTATAGATGAGAAAGGTTTTGTTTACACACAGATATCTTAGTAATCAGCAGTGATGTGAATAGAAACAACAGGAAAAATGCATCACTGTTCAGCAGAATTCAGGGAATATTTGGGGCTTTGGAACTTCCAGCCTGGCACCATCACACAGTTGCCCAAAGCTTCTTTGATGAAGGTTTCTGCCAAATCACACCCAAAGTGTTCCCAAGTGATCATCTCCCACCAACAGAAAACTTGGATCACTTTTAGAATCAAAGACTGAATGACTGTTAGCACAGCACTGCTTAAAGGGGAGGATGGAGAAAGAACAGACTACCAAACTGTAAAAGTACTTGAAAACACATTTGCCTTGACATGCTACTTAGTTATGAATGTAGAGTTAGTCCAGATGACCTGATGCAACATCCTTGGAAGCAATTTCACCAGGTAACTGAGAGAAATGCATCATTCCTTAGAAATACGTAATTTGTATTATGCTAACAAATTAAGAGCTACTATTTACATTTGGAATTCTGGTTATTTTTACCATGCAGAAATGGCTATATAGAAGGTAGAGACTGAATAAAAACAAAACACCAGCTGACCTCTCTCTCCCTGTGCAACATTAGCAGATTTTCAATACAGCTGATGTGTGTTAAAACCTGAAGTTGCTCAGCTGCCATCTCCCCCTCACTGCTTTCCTAGTGATGAGCAGCAAAAGGCAAACCTGTCACCATCAACCAGATGAGCTTCAGACCCACTAACTGTTCTAAACGGACAGGCAGCAGGACAGAGAGGATGGCAGAGCAGCTGCCCCAGGTGTATCACAAAACACGGGGCTGAAAGCTGTTTGCCTCAGCACCTGATGCACAGCTGTCCTGTAATTAAAGCAGTGCAGAACAAAGTGAGGATTTTGCTGTCTGAGGGGATCTCTGGTCCTTCCATTTTGTCTAGCACGTGGCAGATTTCTGAGAGCATTTCTCTCTGTGTTTCACACAAAACAGAGATGGTGTAAGACCACACAGACAAGGCTCCTGTGCTTGGGAGGGCAGTACCCACAGAAAGGAGCTGTGAATGATCTCCTGTGGGGAAGGGATCACGTGCTGCACAGGGCAGTGTGTTCAGGCTAAGTGCTGCAAGAGACACAGGCAGACCTTGGAAATCTCCTCCCTGGAATTCCCCTGTATGCTTGGCTCTACTTTCCTCTTCCTTTGCTTCTAACCTAATCAAATCTGTCCTCCACCTTTCCCATGCTAAAATCCCATGTGAATTTCTTCTGGCACTTTCTGCACACCCCATCCTTGCCTGGCTCTCTCCAACATGGGTCCTGCATTCTCTGTTTCACACATCCCCACGGGTGATCCACTTGCTGTGCTATATAAGCCTTCAGAATCTGCACCCTGCAAGTTGCCAGTGAAGGATTCCCCACTCATCTGGGCTTTGCTTCTTTCTCTGCCTCCAAAAGCAAACTCGTGCATGCCTCAGGCTCTTCTGGAAACAAACTGTCCAATTAGTATTTCTCAATTCTTCTTTTAGCTTGAAATGTAGGGACAACAGTCAGAACACACACCAGAAGTGTAGCCAAAACCAGACAATAATTACGATTCATTTTTAATGGGACCTAAAATATAAAATGCAGCATTATCTTACGTGTTGGAAAACTATTAGCAATCAGAATTCGTATCACTGCCAGATCTGGTAAAGCTTGCCACATAAACACAGAGCTAAGGGAGCTCCAGGAAAAATTAACCCATTCTTTCACCCTCTCGCTAGTAGGAGCATTTTATTTTAACCTCTGTATATGAATTCATCTTCAGAGTTGTTCAGCCTGGAAAAGAGGAGGCTCAGGGGAGACCTTCTCACCCTCTGCAACTCCCTGACAGGAGGTTGGAGTCAGGTGGGGGTTGGTCTCTTCTCCCAGGCAACCAGCAGGAGGACAAGAGGGCACAGACTCAAGCTCTGCCAGGGGAGGTTCAGGTTGGATATCAGGAAGAGATTTTTTTATGGAGAGAGTGATCAGGCATTGGAATGTGCTGCCCAGGGAGGTGGTGGATTCACCATCCCTGGAGGTTTTCAAGCTGAGACTGGATGTGGCACTTAGGGCCATGGTCTAGTAACCACAGTAGGACTGGATTTGATGATCCTTGAGGTCTCTTCCAACCAGGTTTGTTCTATGATTCTATGACTTGCAATTAACTTTGCCACTGCTTACTCACTTTGGCTTTAAATTCCTTTTCATCCTTCCTAGATGTCCTTCTAGTGAGTGGATTAGGACAATTTTTAGGAGCCTGCTACAAACTGAAGATCATGGTGATTTTGAAGCTATCAGCCTTTTCTGCTTAGAGCTGTGTGTTTACATGCAAGTAAATTTTTATACCAAGAAGCAGCCAGGATTTTCCTGACTAAAGGAAGACTAAAGAAAAACTAAAATCAAGACTCTTATATTATAATGCAAAGCAACAGGAGTCTGTGTAATATGTGGCTCAAATCCTACTTCCATGTCTAAAGTCTGGCAGTATTGGTTTTAGTTTTCCCCTTACAGTCTTAGGTCTTTTAGCTCCTTTCCCTCTTTAAGACTTGTGACTACCTTAAGCATCTGCTTCTGTTTTCTGTTTCGTAGGCAGTGCTACAATCTTGGTGACCCTTTTGCTATGCTGTCATCACATTCCTTTTTTTCCCTATGTTCTTTTGCAGAACAGCTCTGTGCACTGTTCACACCAACTTACTCTATTGTATACAACAGCTCACTAACCCTCACCTGTTACCTAACCCTCTGCAACTCTGACTGTCTTTTCCTCCTCCTGCTTCATTTCTCTCTTTAGGCTACTGACTTACTCCCTTTACACTCAATTCTTTAGAACTTTTCCATAAGACTTTAATTTGATGCCAAAACCTATTTATTTTTTTCCATTCCTGGATCATTTTAGCCTTGCATTATTCTCCAGTTTTCATTGGTATTCAAGAATACTTCTATGAATTTCATATTCCATTTTCTCTCCCTGTTATTCTATTCAGCTCTCCAAAGCATTTCTTTCTCACTTGCTAGAGAACAATGCCCCACTCAAACTACTCTTCTATTCTTAAAGTATTCTGCAGTATCTCAGAAATAGCCCACTGAAAAGCCACTACACTTACAGTAAATATCTGAAGCATTATCTTGGGCAATCAGAGCAGTCTGCCTGCCCTTGCTTCTCCCAGCAGTCAGACACAGGAACTTTGAACAGTCTCACATTGTCCGTAGCAAAGGCTCTTTGAGCAGTTGCACAGCTTTAATATATCATAGAATCAACTGGGTTGGAAAAGACCTCAAAGATCATCAAATCCAACCCTACCGTGGTTACTAGACCATGGCCCTAAGTGCCACATCCAGTCTCAGCTTGAAAACCTCCAGGGATGGTGAATCCACCACCTCCCTGGGCAGCACATTCCAATGCCTGATCACTCTCTCCATAAAAAATCTCTTCCTCGTATCCAACCTAACCCTCCCCTGGCAGAGCTTAAGTCTGTGCCCTCTTGTCCTGCTGCTGGTTGCCTGGGAGCAGAGACCAACCCCCACCTGACTCCAACCTCCTGTCAGGGAGTTGCAGAGGGTGAGAAGGTCTCCCCTGAGCCTCCTCTTCTCCAGGCTGAACACCCCCAGCTCCCTCAGCCTCTCCTCATGGCACTTGTGCTTGAGTCCCTTCACCAGCCTCGTTGCTCTGCTCTGGACCCTTTTTTCTAGTGTCTAAATCTTTCCTTACATTTCCAAAGACAATGAGTGGAAAGAAAGAGCAGTGATTCTGTGTGCAATGGTTTGGATCAGGAGTACTGGAAGTGTCCACAATCTACAGGAAGCAGTGCTGGGAGTCACACCAAACATGCATGTGGGAAAGCTCACAGGGAGCCTTTTGTCTCTGCTATGTGAGGCAGTTTTCTCCTGGGGCAGTTCCTCCCCACTCTGCCTTCTTAGCCCTCATCTGAAATTATACCTTGCAGCTGCCAACGACAGTTGAGAACTTCAAGTATGTTACAGAGTTCAGCCCATTTTTCTCAGCTGGAGCCTGAAATTGCTTATGTCACAGATTATTATGACTTCAGTGCCAGAAATAGCAAGAAAGAGCAAGATCTTTAGTAATACAAATAGAGAGAAGCAAATTTACATATATAAAAGATCCATGCTGAATGTAGATACTGAATGAAGGGCTTTTCATTTTCTGTAATGCAATCAATTCCTTGGGAAAACTGAGCAGAATAAATGCAAAATACAAGACAACTGAAGATGAGTTTAGCGTCAACCTACCTATTTTTGACTCAGTATCAATTATTATATAATAAAAGTAATTAATTGTATTTCTTTGCAATAAAATATCATACCATTTTACCATGGTAAAATACCATATTAATTTGAGTCTTTTCTTCAGAAGCTCAATACACAAAATAAGCACAGTAGAGAGGATTTACCTAGGTCTCTCCAAGAGAAGGTTATTCACCAGACATGTAACTTGTTCTGGCACAAATTATTACACTGCACAAGCCACTTTTGCAATTGAAGGTGTGCTGTGTCTCAGGGAGTTCTCATTTCCTGGATCTGTCTAGCTGACAGTACTGGCTCCTCAACAAAGCAAGCTGGAAAGTTCCATGAAAGGGGGATAGGAAGGCATGACCACTGGGAGAACCAGTGGGATGACAGTTAACACCAAGAGGTAGATGTAATGAACTAAACCTGCCAGTGATGAATATATTACATTTAACAGATAAAAGCTGTATGAATCAGAATGTAAACTTGATGCCCAACGTGCCAATTCCCTTTGTCCCAGAAATGTGAGGTGAGTGGAAATTCTCTAAGAAACCTTGCTGTGAAGCAAATGTGAACCTTGAATTATGCCATAACGAGATCTCTCCCCACTTAAATGTACAGGAAGCCTTTGTGCTTTTCATGAGGTGACAAGTTCCCATCTAATCCGAACATGACTGGTTTCCCAGGTGCATTGAGAGTTACACAGGAGCCCGTTGTGAGGAGGTTTTGCTGCCCAGCATCAAGTCCCAAACACAATGTGACCTGTTTGCAGCTTTCTTGGCTTCACTTCTTCTTCTAGGAGTTCTTGTAATTGGAGTATTCTACTTCCTTTGCAGGTAAAAGTACTTCACAGTGCTGAAGCTATTTAATCAAGTAGAGATTTCTTCTGGTAATCATGTACTAATTATTTGAATGTAGAAGTATGTAATGAATTATCCATAAGGTTTTATGGTTATTCAACATAATGAATGTGGATGTCTCAACTTGTTGCTTGTAATATTTGACTTCCTGGCTTGTAGTTTTCTCAATGTCTTTTCTAAGCTATTACTTACTGTTGCTTTGTAAAAAATACACCCATGTCTGAGATTTTACAGCTTACCTAGTGTTAGTGCTAACATTTTTAAGCATTAGTCAACTTCACCTTGTCCAAAGATTGAGAAGTAGAAGCAAATTAACAAAGTGCTTAGGGATCATAAACTGTTCCCATTGAATTGGCAGCCAAAGCAACTGGTGCCATTAGCTCCTAATTTAACTCCTGGTCTGAAAAGAAAAACTAAGGAAAGAATGAAAGTGTAGAATAATACTAGGTTTGTGTTTATTAACTAACTTTTAGAACAAATCAGAGGGCTGATGATTCATGCTTGAGTAGCAGGAGAATGTCAGTGCTAGACAGCAAGTGCTGCAGGTTTGGGTT